ATTTTGTGATTTACTGCTACAATTAATAATTGTCCCAGTAAATGCCCGAACCCTACAGAACTGGTGCCTTCAGAGAGCACACTACACTGAATAACCTGGGAACATATCACCGCAACAGGCAGATAAATATTTTAATTTCAGGAATAATTTTCAAATTTTTGTTTCTCGATTTAAATAAATCTGCCTGTTGTGTCAGTGATCTGTTCCCAGATTAACCAGTCACAGTAACCGTGATGGGATTTTCTTTAGCCTTTCTGATACACAGGGGTTATTTCCTATATATTTCCTATAAAATGTAAACTTGATCTATTTTCCATGTTTTTTAATTCAATTTTTTCATGGCATATTTGTAGTTTGTCAGGTTTTCCTGTCAGAAGCTGTATACTGCAGCTAAAGGTGGTGACAGAAGGCCTACAGTGTGTGCAGTGATAATCAGCCACAGGGAATATTATCAGCAGAAAGCTATGCTGTAGGATGGACAGGTATGTAAAGATACTGATATGATTATTTACCTAGATTCTGGCCTTTTGTTAACACGCCTGTCAAATTAATTTATTTATTTACACTGAAATTAATTACACTAAAGTAACTTACACGGCATGTTACAAAATGATTTCAATACCATGCATGGCTCAGAATATGTGTGGGGGTTTAAAATGAATAGAAATAAACTAAATATATTTCAATCAGGCAGTAAGAACATTCTTCTTCAGTACAAGATGATAGACACTGAACATGAAGAAACTGCTCCTGGAGGGACTCAGATGTTTATGCAGTCTTGTCCAAGTCCTCTGAGTGACTCCTGTGCTCTGCTAGCAGCCAAAGGAGTGATTGGTCTCTTCTCATTTGTAAGCTTTATATTCTAATGCCCTGCTCTTCTGGCTTTCAAATCTGCTCCCAGATTTCAGAAATTGAGCTTGTTCTGGAGTAAAGACGTTACTCTGCAGAGAATTCAGTGCGAAAATATACAAGAGATGAAAATGGATATTTCGAATTTATAGCTTATGCCTAGCTGGCCTCTTGATGCAGAATAATGAATCATTACTTTCAGTGACTGGAATGGAGACGAGAAAACGATCTAAAATTTCTGTTTCTCTTCTTTTAGAGATAAATGGCCATTCTTATGAATTTTAGGAGGGCTTTGTAAATGACGGTGTGTGTACTTTTTGAAGATGCCAGTCAAAGAATCATATAATTACATGAAAACGTATAATGAGACACACAAAATAATGATCTCTGTTTTCTCCCTATTTTTTATTAATAATATTGTCTCATGGTTGCAGTCAGACATAATGAATTAAAAAAAGGAAAAGCAAATTGAAACAGTATTGGAAGAAAAGAACTTAATCATACATCAGGTTCCGTGAATTCTGTGAATAAGTGCTTTCAAGGCAGCTGCTATTTTTGAAAGTTCATTCTAGTTGAAACCAAAAGACAAGCACAATATCTGGTTACAACATATACCTGCATGACACGCATATCACTGAGTATGATAACTGATTATAGAGGAATACAGAGCCCAGTGACCAACATGATTTCAAAAAATAACATGCAAGTTCTTCAATACATTTCTTATGTAGTGTTCCAGAGCTGGTATAGGACAGAGACTATTCTGAAGCTTAAAGCAGAATGTT